TCACTGTAACTTATCTTTCTCAATTTCATTGCTTTATGCTGAGATTTTGTGAATTAGACATTCTTATAAATAGAAGCAGACTCGGAGGTCGCCCTAGCCACCCTCTCTCAGACACGGAGACCGAGGCAGCCGCGTTTTCCACCAAAAAATGAAGTCCGGCCTCCGGCGTTTAAGTTCCGAGCTCTTCTCTTCCTCAACGACGGTTGCTCCCCTCTTCTTTTGGTCCAATCAACCCGACGTCTATTCTATCTCTTTCATTCTCTTGAGATGATGTCTTCCACCTTGAGTCAAGCCCTCTGGTTCTCACAGAGCGGTAAACCATGTGCAGATCAGAGCTCCGCCTTCTCGCTCCTTTGGTTAAAGATGTTCTTAGGGAAGAAAATCCTCTCTCCACCGTTGGAACTACCGGATCTGCCAGATTCACCGGATATAGCTCAAAGGTCATGTTCTACTTCAGATCTACTCCACCATGGTCTAACCAGCGTGGAGATTTGCTTACATCCAACTCATTCTTCGGCTTCAACCTTTGCTCCGCCGACTGCATCAACCCCTCCTTCGCCGAGATCTAACTTCGGTCTCTATGGGTCAACTAAGTTTCTCTCTCGCCGGTCATGAACTCTGCTCTAGCAGAGATATCATTTAGCTCCGACTCCTACTGCCCCCTTAACCGGACTGTCGTGTTTCCTCCTCGTCGGCCAGCCAACATTGCGGCTTCTCCTCCCTCTCTCCAACTACTGAAAACCCTACATGTCTCTCTCTTCTTTGTTCAAGTATGGGCCTGGCCTATTATGAGAGATGGGCTTCCTAACACAACAAAACTGTCTGGCCCACCAATCATTAACCTTAGTCAAATATGGGACAGGATTGCTGCTCCATTAGATTAGTCGCGAGATCGGTTTTGTTCCCCTTCACTGGCCTCCTCCACTATCCACGTGTCTCGTCCATATGTTCAAAACTCAACCTCGCCATTAACAACCTTGGCTCCGGCGAGTTACCAGAAAATCAAGCTTCTCAATTGGCCACTTTTTCCGAGATTCACCGTACATGTAACGGGTCAAACCTCAGAATCTGGTGTGTCTCCTCCCAAAAAAAAATTCCGGTGATGCTCTTATAAACAGTACACATTGTCGTGTCAACGTTATAGCTATGGGATTATATTGTCTCCAACCTCTCCGGGTGAGTTATCATGAGTGCTCATACTCTTCTTCAATCTTATTTTTAGATGTGTATGACACTTTGTTGAGGCTGTTACCGAACCCATGTTCATACTTTCCATCGATCTTAGTTTTGGATGTGTGTGATACCATGTTGGGTTTATTATCGGAATTGTGTTCACACTCTCCATTAATGTTATGTTTGGATGTGTGTGACAGAATTTTGTATAGCTTTTGGATGTCTTCTCCATGTAGTTACCTTGCCCTTTGCTGGTCGTGTTATTTGTTGATAAGTTGCAGATTTATCTCTTGTCGGAGGCTCCAAGAACTACTCGCTACAGATGACTCGTTCTCTGTTAGTACTAAAGGCTCAACACTTTTCAGTGCAGCCGATTTTAAGATTGTCAATCCCGCACTAGTTACAGTATCAATCACGGGTGTTAGTCCACATATTGTGTTCTTAATCTCCCAAGGCATCATTCCAAAGCTTAGGCTCTATGTTGTCGAGATACGAGGATTTTTCTACGATGTTGACTGCTTATGTATAATGACACCTTCTATCTGGTGTTTTTGTGATCGCCGCTTGCCTTTTGTAGCAGCGTTTTTAGTAGTCTTCATGGCTTTAGTATCATCACTTGTAAACAGTTCCTCCTTTAATGGAGAGTAAGCATCTATATAACTACGTATGTTTGACAAAAAAAGCCATTCTTATAAACTCTTGTTGCAAGTTACAAAAAGACAAATCCTTCGTATGTAATTACAAATCTAAATTAAGATAAGATAGATCCTAAACTAAACTCAACAACAAGCTCGAAAGTTATGTATGTACACACACCATATCTTAGATCCATTATATATGTTTGGAGTTAGCACAAGAAGTATGCATCAGAGAAAACAAAAATCCCCTGAGTTGATACAAAATTGAAACTGTATTATCAAGTTGTTTGGATCACGATGGAGCTTTTGTTATCGTCTCGGTCGATTGGACTTGATGAACGAATTGGCCTTTGATTCGTGGCCGTTGCTCTGCCAATTTCTTTCGGCTCTCATATCGGACCTGAAAGAAAATATGTTAGTATCATTCTTCTTGACAAGCCTATCTTGATGTGCTCATGAGAGTTTCAACAACGATCAAAGTTTTATACTTTTTTCTCAAAACACATTTTCTTGCATTTCATTAGGAATTTGGTTAGAACGGCTTCCCGTTGAAGAGATTGCTAGATTTTCCCAACAGACGATGGATACCCGTCTTCGTTCTTCTTCTTCTCTAGTTGTTGTTGATGATCAATGTAGTTGCCACTACAGTGATTGCCTACTGCACTCTGTTTGGTAGCAGAAGAGATGTGTCTTCTCTTATCTTGATCGGCGGAACCATCACGCTCTTGGAAACCTTCTGGTCTACCGTTGAATGGGTGAAATCTGGAACTGTACTCATGCCGGCTAACAGAACTAGGGCTTGGGGAGACTGAAGCAGGAGCCATGGCAGAGGCATAAGCTGCGTTAAGACTCTTGAACTGTATAGTGTTGACTGGAATTGGCTTTAGGTAAGAACTCTGTCCTGGCCAAAAGTTCATCTGTTTGCTAAATGGTGGAGCCGGTGAGTCAGCTCTAGTGAAAAAACCAGCCTCATTTCTTCTTGGAGCATTTGGAGGAGTTTTAGATGAATTGTATTTGTTGATTAGCACAATGTTATCATCTTGACTTGCTGCAACATTCTTTCTTTGATCAGAAATCGGAGACACTGAACATTGTGTTTGTAACGGCCTGTGAACATACCTGATCAACAAGAACATAGCACACACAATCAGCAGAAAGAATGGCAACCTTTGAATGATTGATAGAAAGATGAGTTTAAAAATTAGACAACTAACCGTGTGAAAGCCAAAACATTAGAAGGATGAAGAGAGGGCCTGCCTCCAGAAGATTGGTTCTCGGAAGGGTTGGGTCTTCTCAGAGAGATATCAAGCTCTACGAGAGATATCAAGCTCTACCCGAGATTCGTATTTGCCAAAACTTTCTTTTTTTGTTATGTTA